TCCAAAAATCTTGAGAAACAATACAAGAGACATTGAAAGAACTCTTACCCGTCATGGTCAAGAATAGGTGGTAGAAGGCTTGGCCATAGAATCTATAAGAACACCTGAGGATATAAACCTAGCAAGTTTAGGATATTGTTGGGACCCAAGGACTGGAAGGAAGAACGTGTATCTTCGTCCATGGCAAGGGCAACTCTTCTAAGAGGAGTAATTATAGATTTTACATAGGCCCTAAGCGGGACAAGGTTGGAGAATATTGACCATTGTGCCTGAAAGGGCTATTTGAAGACAAGGCTCCTAGTTTCTGACCTAGGTGGTGTCAGTGGAGAGGAGGAAAAGTGAAAAACTATTTGATGTTGATTCTATAAGGCCCTAATTCATATTGAGGGAAAGATGGACGGAAACTGCGAATAGGCTAAACCTATTAAGTTTAAGATGGAAAAAAAGTGAAAAATCTATCTTAACATGTTGAAAGATATTTCTATCCTGAATTTGTAGAATGTTAAGGAGTGTTGATTGATGTAGAAACCCTGAAGATGACAAAAATTCGTAGGAAATTATTCTGTTTCATTGTCCCTTCTCAAGATGAAATTGACTCGAGAAATTGATTTTGAATTTCAACATAAAGTGACTAAAAGGATTTAACCTTGGAAGGAGTTTGAAACTGTAAATGGACCAGGAATTGAAAGTAACGTAAGAATCACCAAAACACCCCAGGAATGAGGAGTAACTTCCTCCATCACGTTTTCTTCCTACCAAGATTCTATCTCTTCTAAAAGGACCCTAACTCTGTTAGTTACTGTGGGTTAAGTGGTTTTCCTAAGCTTTAATTAGTGCTGGGCATTATTCTGATGTCTGTAAAGTAGTTTCTTTTAGGTCTAGGTTTTGTTCGTTTAAACCTATTGTCATCACCTCATTATTCTGATTACCTGTACAGAAGTAATTTCATTTAGTCTTAGTTCTTTCTAAGCATTAATCAGTGCTGCTTTATTCTAATGCGACATTGAAACTTATGTTAGTTCGTTTAGTTAACCCTGTTTAATAGTTTGTAACTTCTTTGCAGATGGTTTGGACACGTGATCAATTATTAGCAGAGTTGACTTAAGATTATTGTTTTTCTGCTGCCCTTCCTCCCTGTTTTCCGTAACTGTACATACTTTTCGGCTTGTAAATCTGGAATAGTGCAGGATGATTCATGAAACATTGTCAGGAGTCAATAATAGCCTTTTTTTCCTTTCCTTTTTCTTATTTTTAAAGGAAGACAAAGCAGCAACGGAAGAGTGGAAATGACCATGTTTTTCTGTAGTAGAATGATTGACATCCACGTAGAGTAAATGAAGAAAGTGTTTCAAAAGCAATATGGATTGTCATTTATAGGCAGATCATATATTCAGTTCAAGGATGCTTGTTTTAAGACATTGCTATG